GCTGAGATTTATATTAGTGTGATTGTGAAGTTGCATGGTGTTCCTTTGTGTATTATGTCAGATAGAGATCCAAGATTTACTTCTGATTTTTGGAAAAGTTTGCAAGAAGCGTTGGGTTCTAAGTTGAGGTTGAGTTCAGCGTATCATCCTCAGACAGATGGTCAGATTGAACAGACGATTCAATCGTTGGAAGACTTGTTGAGGGCATGTGTTCTTGAGCAGGGAGGTTCGTGGGATACTTATCTTCCATTGATAGAGTTCACATATAATAACAGTTACCATTCTAGTATTGGAATGACACCTTTTGAGCGTTATATGGTCGAAGATGTAGAACTCCATTATATTGGCATGAATTTGGCGAGAGTGTAGTACTTGGACCTGAAATTGTTCGTGAGACTACTGAGAAGGTGAAGTTGATTAGAGAAAAGATGAAAGCTTCACAAAGTAGACAGAAGAGTTATCATGACAAGAGAAGGAAGAATTTAGAGTTTCAAGTCGGTGATCATGTGTTTTTAAGAGTTACACCTGTGTCTGGTGTTGGGCGAGCGTTGAAGTCTAAGAAGCTCACTTCTCGTTTTATTGGACCGTATAAGATTTCAGAGAAAGTGAAGAATGTTGCTTATAGAGTGGCTTTACCGCCTAATCTTTCGAATTTGCATGATGTGTCTCATGTATCGCAACTTTGGAAGTATATTTCAGATCTATCTCATGTGATTCATATGGACGATGTGCAAGTACGGGATAATCTTATGGTGGAGATGATACCTGTACGGATCACGGATCATGAAATGAAGACTCTGAGGGGAAAAGAGATTGCCTTGGTTAAAGTGGTTTGCTAGGGGCTGCTGGTGAAAGCATGACTTGGGAGTTGGAGAGAAAGATGCAAGACTCCTATCCTGAATTGTTTGATTGAGGTAAATTTTCGAGGACGAAAATATTTTAAGTGGGGGAGAGTTGTAACGCCTGTAATTTAATTAATTATTTAATTAAATTATTTTTGAAATATTTGTGAATGTGTGTTATAATTAAATTGGATTTATTTTATTAAGTGGAGAAATAATATTAGAGATATAATATTATGTGGTGAAATAATATTAGAAGTTAATATTATTAATGTGGGCTTACTTTGAGAGAGTAGAAGTAATAAGGGGGTGTAGGTTTTAAACCCAATAAGAAATAAGGAATAATAGAATAATAGGGTTATTTTAACGTGAAGCTGCTGGAAAAAGTGGAAAACGGTAAGAACGAAGATTCAACCTGGAAATTGTAGAGCGACCTTCAATCCAAGGTAAGGGTGGGGTTCTGACTTTATAATTGGGTTCATGATGTTTGATATGTGGGGTTAGAGGATTGTTGTTTTGTTCTTGAATTGGATGTATTATGAATGATGTATGATGAAAATTGATGAATTCCTGATGAATAATGATGCTATTATGTTGTTTGATCGATGTGGTAATAGAGGATAATGTTAGGAGATGAAATATCATGTTTATAATGAGGTTTGTAGGACTGTAACATAATTCATGTAGTGAAATTACATAAGAAAACACAGAAATTATGCAGATTGTAGTAGGATGTGTCGACCCCAAACTGAATGTGTCGATACATGAAGGCTGTAAGACTCAGGATGAGTCGACACGAAGAGGGGATGCGTCGATGCATGGTAGTTGCAAGACACAGGATGAGTTGACTGGTGAGGTGCATGTGTCAATATATGCTGTGATTTAACGCCAGGATGAGTCGATCCATAAGGAGGATGTGTCGACTCATAGTATACAGATGAAGCAGGATGAGTCGATGTATAAGGTTTTGTGTCGATACATAATGTCTGGTTTTTGACAGAATCGGCTTTTAGTTGCTGTAACGTGAGTTTTAGGATGCTGTTTGAGATGTCGTTCGAAGCGTTAATTAGCTAACACGATGAACCTTATTCTAGATGATTAAATGAAGAATGAGAAGTGTAATCCTAGCAAATAATTCATGATTTAGAATTAATTCCCGTAAATGACTGTTGCGCTGATTTTCTGGACAGAATGATGAATAATAGATGTTTAGAGACTGTTGTTAGAATTATAACAATAGGATTAGTGACAATAACGATATAATTTAGCAGAATAACCGGATGAATTAATGTACTATTAATATACAGTTGAGTATTAGTGAGATGTTATTGATGATGTTGTGTTTGATGATTCATAACTAAATGACATTTGATGAATTATTTTGATCATTTGAGATGTTATTTTGAGACATATTTTGAGATGTTTTGAGATGATAATTGAGATGTTTTGAGATGATAATTTGAGATTTTTCGAGATGATTTGAGATGTTGTTAACTTGGGTGTTATCATTACATTCATGTTCGAGTCGCATACATTGCAATTTTTGAGATGGAGCTTATGCTCGTTGAGATGGCCTGAATTGGCAAATTTTGAGATGTAGGCTATGCCTTGTTAATGCCTCTATTAATTGGCAATTTTTGAGATGGGAGTTCTGCTCCAATGGTACCACATGCATTTGCATAGTATTGAGTCGCATTATGTGATTTCATAAAGAAGTATTTTTTGATGTTGATGAATGTATATTATTGTTGAGATTGTCGTTGATTATGAGATGAGAAGTGGTGATGTTATTGATCTAATTTAATATATTAATTATCATGCGCTTTATTATATTGTAAGATATCTCACCCCTTCTGTTTGAATGTTGCCCTTATGTTGGTAACGTGCAGGTAATCGAGAGTGAAGGTTGTATACCTTCAATAGTTCGAGTCGGTGTCATTGCTCAGATATGTAACACTCGAGGGGATGAACGCTTGCTGATTTTTGATTGCTGATTTTTAGTTGTTGAACTTTAAATTGATTATTATTAAATATGAGATGTTTCGAAGTTACTGTTTTATCTAAAGATGTTATTGAAGAATTCCGCTGCGTAGTTGTTGAATAATTATCTAATGAAAGATGTTATGTTGATAGTTCGTCCGATGTTTTAAAAAAGTGTTATATATCCATGATGAATGCAATGAATATTTTAGAAGAATTTGTGACGTCCCGATTCATTTGTATGATTGAAATTTTATAACTCTGATTTAATTGCATAATTGCTTGGGGTAGAATTGGGGTGTTACAAAATTCATGACTATTACCAACTCAAAAAGAAGTAATAATGTTCCACCCAAGATTCTCATTTGAAGAAATATATCAAGGACAACAACGCTAGAGGACAAGGTGAACCAAATTCTCAAAAGAGTTTTGATCGACCAGAGGAGCTCCGCATTCAGCCATTATCCTGACACATTTGAGAGGCTCTGTGTGAATGTGCACGACCTAAAACCCTTTAAGGAATCATTGATGGGTTTCTCGGACAAACTGGTAAAAGTGAAGGACTACATAACATTGAAGACTATCTTTGAAATAGGGGAAAACTCTAGGAAAATCAAGTTATGATATTTATTATTGTTGCACCCTCATCATATAATATGATCATAGGGAAACTTGTCTTTTACTAGTTAAGAGCCACCCTACACACCTTATATTTATGCATAAAGTACCACTCTCATTGGGCAGGTAGGTGTTATCTAAAGAAACCAACAGATCGCCAAAAAAATCAATGTGAAACAGTTAGAGTTAAAGAGCGTCAGAGTAGTAGGAGTAAGCACTGTGAGTTCAAGGACAAGGAGAGAGCCGCTTGAGAAAGTTCCCGCTGTGAAATTCCTCATCAATTTTGACGAAGAGATCGCCAAATCCGCAGAAGAGGCGAAATGATCGCTCGGGTGAAGGGCCTCATTTAATTTAGTTTGTTTAATGTTTATTTGTTCTATGAGAGTTATCATCTCCAACCATTAGGAGTGGTTTAGGAAAGTGCCATATTGAGTATTGTGAGAATCTCCGCAACAAAGGAATAAATGGGGAGGTGAATCCCAATCTTGCGGATGGTACAAAAGTAAAAGTAAAAGGAGGAAGAAGAAGATGCATTAGAAACGACCATATTGGCCCTATTCTATAAAAAGCACGTCAATAAAATAACTTCTTCGTCATCAATGGAAGAAAAAGTAAGTTATTGCCAAATGGAGGATATATGATCGACAGTGGGGTTGACTGATCCAACTTCCCTCACATCTTTGGGCTTGGGGTCGAAATTAGCCATGATCGTCCTATTTCCTTGAAAAATAGAAGGAAATAGAGAATCACTATCACTTCCACCACTGTTATTGCTCTCGAAATTAAGAGAACTCTCATAGCTTCCGAACATGTCTAGTTCCACTAATCTACGGTCAACATTACTTTCAGGATGCATATCATTCATATAACAATAGTTTCACTGGGCTATACACTCATTACGAGTAAAGGGTTCAACCAGATTGTCATCCTCTTCTAAATCTGTAATCATCACCGTAAAGAAAAAAGAAAAAAATGAGAGTACCTGCGTAGAATTTGAACTTGAGCTTGTGGAGAGGATGAAGTTATCTGAGATAGAAGGAACGATCTATAAACTCTAAACGAGAAAGTTTGAGAAAAAAATGAAAAAGTTGATTCTGGTCTCCTTAAATAAGATTGTAAACTAGGGATTACTAAAAGTCTTCAGGTTTCCAATCAAACGTTATTATATTTTCTTTCAAAATAAGTGTCTGTATATATTTGTCATGATAGCTTCACCAAAAATAGATTATTAAATAGTTTAAACCACAAGTTGGCAATATATATTAGAAAAATCTCAAGTTTAACATTGATTAGAGATAGAACATGAAAATGTATTATATTGAGTGATACCTTCTCACTTTACAAATAATTTTTTATGGATGAATTAAGAAAAACTCTAATTTATATTTCTACACCAAGTTTAATAAAGTGTTAGGTGTGAGGGGATAATTAGAAAGTTAGTGATAGAGTTTAAAAATAGTTTATACATAATGTCATAAATTAGTTTTGTATAGATATGTTAGATGAAACTCTAATTTTAATAATATAATTTATTCTTATACACAAAGAACACAAGGGTTTTTATTGCTGGCTATAAATATGGACTCTACATATGATATAGAAGCAAAAGTATTATTGATAACAAAAACTTAATATGTATAATTAAATAGCATTGAAATGTTCAGTTTTTATGACCTATTTACATGCTACAAAGTTGTGATCACACTGCATATTATTTAATAGAAATTAGTTAAACTAAAACAAAGACAATGCCACATACCTTGAACTTGCGAATTCATATATTCTTCCTCTTGGTGAGAAAACAATAAGAGCAATTTCAGCATCACACATAATTGATAATTCAAATGCTTTCTTCATCAAACCATTTCTTCTCTTTGAAAATGTTACTTGTCTACTTGTTGCGTTCTCTATACGCTTCATTTCTGTCTTCCCTCTCACCATCTTTGCTGAATTCACAACAACAACAACAAAGAAAAAGGGTATGATAATTATAAAAAGAAAAGGGGATAAAAATATTAGTTTTTAAGATCTAGAAAAGCAACTTCAAAAGGAAACAGATTTGTACCAAATAATGAGAAAATCAAAGAGAGGAGAGATAAGGAATAAAGGGTTGAGTCTAAAAAGGAAAATAAGGTTAAAAAATAATAAGAGTTGAGGAATCAAAAGAAAGGAGAAACTAAGAACCCCCAAAAGTAGTAATAGTCATAAATAAGAGCTAAGACTAAGAGTGAAAGCAAACATAGAGAGTAACCTTTCCTAATTAATCAACCTCAACCTCATCCCATCTTTGTTTCTACAAGCTACCCCACCAATACTAAGAAACAAATCATTTGTTTTTTGTATTTAAAAGTTGAAACCTTATAATTTACTTGTTTTGGTAAAATCATTAAATCAAACTCTACTTCCTCATAAAGAGAAATTTCTAGATTAAAGTCAATAGTATTTTGAAAATGATACTGCCGAAATTTCTATGGAAGGAAAAAGAAAATATGTGTTTGTGTGTAAAGGACATATTTAGGTCTTTTAATTATGCAGCATTATTTGTAGGTGCGAGGAGAGGTATAGGTAGTAGTGTTATTAATGGATTCATGCTTTCCAATTCATCTCCCAATGAAACCTAAGAATAATTGGAGGTGATAAAAAATTTCTTTCAATTTAGTATAAATTCAAATGATTTTTTTTTATGTAAAGGTGGTTATTGCTTGCCTTCTATTTTTATATTGACATAATTTTTTTATAATATTTTATATTTAAGTAAAGATTTTGCTTTCAAAACAAGATCTACATATGGAAAAATTTGTTTTTAAAAAGAAAATAAAAATATAATATAAAAAGACTTTAAAGTTTTAAAGTACAAAGTTAATCCAAAAAACAAGAGGATTTGACTTTAAATGAAGGAGCTTTTTCATTAAAAAAAAAAACAAAGATAATAAAAAGTAGTATAAGATGTATTGAACAATTAGTACAATCTTAAAAAAACCAAAAAAATCAAAAAATCACTATAGATTAAACAGTCAAGGAAAAGTCAAAGATCAAGAGCATCTGAATCTCCGTGTAAAAAAACAATATCAATTTTCACAAAACAACAAGAACACACCTAAAGAAGATCGAGGACACTCATGCCGCTATTAGATATAAGATGTCATATATGATTCTCCAGTAATACAAGAGTCTCCTACAGACCTATCAAGATACAATTTCCGATTCAAAAGAATGCTCATATCATTCACATCGTTTTCTGTCACCACTTTACCCGAAAAAACTATATAATTCTGAAATATTCAAATTGATCAAACCACGGCATGCCAAATTATAAGCCATGCCCCAAGCCTAAACAAATCACCACTAGAGAAAAACATCTTTAAAAGGGTCAAAGACTTTCCAAAGATGACTAGAGACCAACCTAACCACCTGAAAATCGCATATCACACAGTAAACACTACTTCACAAGTAATAAGTATATGAAAAAAGCATTCTACAAACTTCAAACAAAGAGGACATGAGAAAACCTTCAAACCAACAATGTCCCCCTCTTGAGTAATTAAGTTATTTCTAGTAAGAATCATATTCTGTAAAAGTTTTCAAGAGAAAAAAAAAACATGTTAGAAGGGGGCGGCTACACCAAATAGTATGGAGAAGCGACTCCACCAATGTGTCATGACAATTTCTATGAAACTCACGAGAGAGAATAAAAGATTACACTAAAGTCACGGGGGTTAAGAGTCATCTTTGGAGTGGTTCCACTAACGTCTTTATTGTAAGTAAATGTAAATATTCGTCTCGATACATATGCGGTTTAAAAAAATCGCCCTCCCCAAATCTATACATGTGTGGACAACAACGTTTGTACATGTACCTTATGGGTACCTATACCCATACCCATTTATTAGGATTTCTAATTAAAAAATCGATCAATTATAATTTATCATGTCATTTAAAAAAATTTCAACAACATTAAAAAATTTGATGTTAGTATTGAGTTAAGAAACAAACAAATATTTATATTAAAATACATACAAGTTTAATAGTGTTGTATTTAATAAAATTGATAAATTAACATATGTATATAATAATAAAATTATATATATATATATATATATATATATATATATATATATATATATATATATATATATAGTGAGGTATTAAACGAGTGGGTACTAAATTACGAGCATTCATATCTATTTATTTTAGTGAATAATTGATCTTGTTAACATTCGTATCGATTTTTTAAATTTTTAGCCTATCCATTATAAATAATTGATGAATTCAATTGTCATCCATATTAACAATTATACTTATTTAAATATCAATTAAATTTTATGTAGATATTGACAAAAAAATAATTGATGCCTACATAGAAAATAATATTTCTTGGCTAAGAAGTTGTTGATAAAGCTTATAAGTAAAATCAACGTTGTGGCAGAGAAGTTAAATAAAAAACTAATTGATAGATACATGCATAACGTTTTCCTTACCCAAGTAAATCTATAAATAACGTTAAATCTATAAATAAAATTGCAATTTAAATAAAACTAAAAAAAATTCTCAGAGTCAATTCAATTGATGCACCTATTTAAATATATGAGGGGGGTCGAAAACCTCTAAATATTTAATTTAGAGAAAATTGATGATGCATTGTTAGTTTAAAATATTTATATTATCAATCAATGATAATCATACAAAATGTCAAGTGATATTAAAATTTTTAAAATACTTTATAATTTAATATTTTAAAATATTCTCATTAAATATCTGTGTAATATATTTTTACACTAACAATATACTATTATTAAAATCTTCAAATTTTTTTATTAGAACCATAAATATATTAAAAAATATAATGGAAAATAAATATATTAGTATTATAAGTTTAAAATGTGATTATTTGAGAAAAAAATTTCCATAATGTATTGCATGGAGCAAAAACAAAGGAAATGGTACAATGCCACTTTTGTTTGTACAGAAACGTAAGAGAACTAACCAATAAGGAGTCGTAAACGTAGCACTTTGTCTTCTCAACTGTTATCATCATTATTTTATTTTTTGGTGTTTATCATCACTATTTTGTCCCATCAAGATGCTTTTTCGATTTTGATTTATAGTAATGGCTTTAGTACTTTCGTAAAAATGATATTTTTAAATTCTAGTTTATATTTTATAATAGTCAATTACTTGTTAATAATTAAATGTAGAAATTAAAGGATAAAAATATTATATAACAAAGTTGTATACCATCTTAGTATTTTTTATAGTGTTAGTCACTTTTTTTTTATTATTAACTTTTAAAATATGTAATCAGATGTTCATATAATAAAATATAAGGTTATTATCATGATTTTTGGTTTATCCTTTGTAAAAAAAAATCTGTAAAATTAAATTGTCACTTAAAAATTATGTCGTTTTGAATTTTGTAAAATTTGTTTTCAAAATTAATTTTGCTATTTGAAGAATTATATCATTTTAAACTCTGTAAAAATTCTATTTTGACCGAGTTTTCAAATAACAAAGTTAATTTTAAAAACAAAAATTTTAGAAAATTTAAAATGACATAATATTTAAATGACAATGTTAGTTTTAAAAAAAAATTATCAGAAATTACTTATATAACATAGATAAAATAGTATTAACCTTAAAATATAATTAAATAATTTAATATTAATTGCTTTCTTATATTATTACCTTCTAAAATATGTAATCTTATGTACATATAATTTGAATGATTATATAAAAGAATTTTCTATTAGAAACCCGCAATAGAATAAAAAGGGATGTAAAATAGATAAGACTAAAATAAAAAATTTAGAAATTTTATATTTTTAGAACTTCAACTGATAATAAAAGAAAATATAAGTCCGTCCAAAAAAATAAATAAATAAGTAAATATTTTATTTGTGTTGTGATTATAGAGTAGTTGTACTTCTTTCTTATTATTAGAATGAATTAGGGTTTCATATATATATATATATATATATATATATATATATATATATATATATATATATATATATATATATATATATATATATATATATATATATATATATATATATATATATATATATATATATATAATATACTTGTATTGGTATGCTAGTTTGGCTCCTCGGTCTCATAGCTCTCTTATGTCCTCTTATGCGTCTATTACTTATATATAACAATTTTCACCATAGCAAATAACAAACACTTGTAATCCATATTTTATGTATAGTCTGAATTAACATATTCTACAGATGAAAAATCACCATGTTCATTACTAAACATGATATCATGACACCTTATACTTATTAATTACATGAAAATCTAATTAATTTCTTCTCAAATGATGTTTACGTAGTTTTGAGATAAATTTACAAGTTTGGCTTAAAGCATGGGTCAAATATGATATGGGGAAAACCATATTATATGTTAAGCAACCATGAACATTGGCAGACATAACCTTTAGCGTATATGCATCGTTTAAATTGTCTTTGGACACTGGTCCAACGAAATATTATAGTGGTTTGTCAATGAAATACTAACAACCTTCTACATTTTCATGTCAAATATGTCTTTCAACTTTTCAAAATACTTCTATTGAGAGAGACATAAAGTTCTAGCACTATTTCCATGTGAATTCACATTATATGAATTTTCTTAGTAACACCTAATTACTTCATGTCTAACTCTTCTCCCAACAAGAGCTTCAATTAACTTACATTGTGCAAATAATTAGCAACAATTAACATATCATCCCCATATAATAACAAGAAAATTATTCACTTTGTGTTTGCTATTGAGTCAAAAATGGAGTAAGGACTCACAAATGGCCCCCGCACTTTCTAGTCTGTGTCATTCTTAGTTTATGTTGTATGTTGAAGCTTTGAAACGTGCTTATTCTTGTCCATTGAGTCAAATAAAGTAGAAAAAGGGCTCGTAACCAACCCCCACAGTTTTCCATT